GAAGAATTAATATTCTGGGAGCTGTGCGGCAGCTTTGTGTGTCTGTTGTGTTCATTTGCTCATTTGTTGATTTTAGCAGTGCGCACATTTGGAGTTTAAATGGAGTTTAATGTTAAAATCTTCTGGTCTGAGTGACCGTACGGTTCAGTTTTTTTGTTTTGTGCTCATCCTTGTCCTTTGTGGCTGATTTTGTGCACGTTATGTGTGTTTTCTCTCCAGTTGCTCACCCGATTGTGTCTCTGTTTCCCTGTTCCTTCAAATGACCTCGAACTTTGATGAGAACGTGGAGCACAGAGGAGGGGAAGCAGCCAGAGGTCAGAGGTCATCAGACGCCACAGAGATGGCAGCTGTGTGTGTGTGTGTTTGTGTGTGTGTGTTTGTTTGTTTGGCCAGAAGAGCAGCAGCTCTGTTTAAAAAGTCATACAGCTCACGATTTCTGACCCCAGCTGAGACTTTAAACCTGCTCATTTAATCTAAGTTCCTCCAAGCCGACCAGATCAAGATACAGCAAAACCTCTACATAGGAATTTAACTAATTCCAGGACCTACTTCCTGTGTTAAAATATTCATAGGTTGGTTCAAATATTCCCATCAGAATACACTGTAATTTGTATAATTCGTTCCACAGCCCAAAAACCTTCGATAACTCCTTAATAAATACAGCAGATACACATAGCAATAAAACAAATGGATTATATAAGAGTTATATAATCCATTCGTTTTATTGCTATGTGTATCTGTAAAAAGAAAGATGTAAAAAGAAATCAATTATAAAGAAATAATCAATAATTTACATGATGAGATACAGGACAAACCCTAACTTACTCTAACTTTCACTACCTGAACTTTAAACAAACTTAGCTTATTTATTTTTATTTAATTTTTATATTTTTTCCCATGACTTGGACGTATGTAGGAAATTTACTTTGGATGTTAATATTTGATCAAGTTTCACTTCGGATGTTGGGAAATTTGTACGTTTAATTAATCGTAAGCAGAAGTTCTGCTGTAATAATTTTTTTTTATTTCTCTCTTCTTTTTAAGGTGAGGAATTTCCTGAAAAGAAGGATTTACAGTCATTTCAGACCCTAAATGATCCATCCTGCTGTTTGAAGCCGATGGTCAGCTTCCCAGAACAGCCAGAGCTGAAAGCTCATAATCAGATTCACACAGACGGGTGAATTCTTCAAAAAATGAATCATTCCTGCATTTTGGACCCGACTAATGTTTTGCGCATGGGCCTGTGAGGTCACATGTCCGAGCAGCAGGCCAATTAGCAGACAGAGAGGGAGTGTGTGAATGCCTCGGTTATCTGAAATATGCCCCAAATCATAGCGAGGATCAGCTAATAAAATTTATTTTTAACTTCATTCTGGAGGGAGCGACTCACCCTAAAAGGAATCCGTTTTTTTTTTAAATAGCTCCATGTGCCTCAGCAGTAAGTACTTAGCAGGTAATTCAGAGGTCTGAAACAGATCCTGCTTTCAGCCTTTGGCACATTTTTTACTGCCTCCTGACATGTGGACACACATTTCTGATTCCTTCATCCTGTGATTGATCGTTGGCAGTGTGGGATCCAGCAGGGCCGGTGGCTTCAAGCTGATTATCTGTAGTTAACTCACAAATGTTGTGAGTTTTGTTTCGTTCCTGTTTAACCAGAATCGTCTTGTGTTCATTCTTGAAATAAACCAAAACAAATTATTCTGACTAACAATGCCGAGAAACATCTAAAAACACAGGCCAAAGGCAGATGTGTTCAGAAAGTCAGGATGCGGCTCGTTTGGCTCCTAATAGAGTCAATAAAGTCTGAATATCTGAAGAAAAACACTCCGGTGTGGCTGGAGGAGGAGGAGGAGGAGGAAGAAGAGGAGGAGGAGGAGGGAGAGGAGGAGCAGTAGGAGGAAGAGGAGGGTGTGGCTGGAGGCTCTGCTGTCTCCTCATTTTCAGATTATCGCAGAAGCTGAAATCTGCAGGAATTCTGGGTTTTTTTAGTTTTTGGGGGGTTTTCTGGGTTTGGATTTAGAGCAGAAACCAAAAAAACAACGAGTTGAAAAGCTTCAGACGGAAAGCAAAGTGGCAGCTCAGCCTGTGGGTGGGAGGGAGGCTGTTGCTAGGCAACCGCCTGGTCCTCTCAGTTTCCTTTCAGCTGGTTTCTGGGTGTTTTTTAAACTGGGTATTTTTTAATGATTGAATCAAACTGATTGTGGACAGCTGTGAACAGCCGGAGGGAGTTTTCAGAGGCTCCACAGTCACACAGCAGGTCGGATTTAAACCAGATTCATTCAAACCCGATTTATTCATCCAGATTAATTTAAACCGGATTCACACAAACTGAAACGCCTGAAGAGTTTTGGTTAAAAAAACGGGATCCAGCTCCGGTTTATCATCGGTGATTTACAGATTTTTGTTCTATTTAACACATTTCCTATAAAACAAATCAAATTTGTGCTGTTTGTCTTTGTTTTTAGGAGCATTTATTCTGTTTAATGAGTAGCAGCAGCAGAAATCTGTTTGCATTTCTAATGTTTTTAATTCTATTTCTCCTCCTTTTCCTTAAGAAAAGTAAAACGGGCCAAAAGCCGCTTTGGCTTTCACACCAAGCGTCCTGTGAATGGATTGTTTCAAACATGTTTCATGCTTACTTAGGTGATTTTCATGGCTGCCAATAGTAAATTAGACATCTGAAGCATCAGGTGTGCTCTGAGCCGGGGCCCTAATGCGATTTACATGATGTGAACTTTAGTAAACAAGCTGAAGAATGCAAAAGCATCCTCAACAAGCAGAATCACATGCGTTTATCCAAGAATTTGGATGTTTGGCTTTGAAATGCCTCACAAGTCAATGTCAGATCCTCCACTCCACCTCAGAAAGATCTAAGTTAAGGTCAAAAAGGCGCCATTGTTTGGTGAATCGTCAGATTTGGAACCTGGAAATCTGCTAAAAAAACATGAAAATCAAGACAGATTTAGTCACATTGTTGTATTTTACCGTTAAGTTATTTAGGTATTAGTTTATACCAGCGAAAAAACTTCTATAAAACAACAATTTGATGTTAAAAATGATGACCTGGGCATCAGGAGCTCAAACTCAAGCAGAAACTCCTCTTTTAACGGATGTCAGTATCGTTTATGAGTTTAGAGTCAACTGTTGGGTGTTTTGGAGCAAAAAAAAAAAACAACTCTCCCCAGAGTTTGAAGGCCCAGTTTAACTTAAGAAAAGGAGGAATGTTCCGTTAAAGCCGGATTCACCTTTGTCTCTCACAGCTCCCAGAAGCCACGAGGGTTAAAACGGGCCCGCTTACACAAACATTCTCCGGCTCAGACGGAGTAATGAACGCTTTCATCACAATGCAGTCCAGCAATTGAGGTGCTGCAACCAAAACACAGCGCGCAGCAGAACAATTGCTCCCGGCGCAGAAAGTACACAGGAAGCGACTTTCTCAACCGTCCGGCCACAGCCAGGAGTCTGGACCCCGCTCCGGAGTCTGACCGGGGTGATGGAGGGCCAGAGTCCTGACTCCCCAGCACCAAAAGGCCTCGGCCGGGCCCGGCAGAGGTCAGCTCACGCCGGGGAGCTGGTCCCCAAACCCACCGGGGCCACAAACAACTGTCCAGAGGTTGTAATGTGTTAGTGGGACCGAACCCTCCAGGTCCAGATTCACTAAACCTTCTTTAGTGATAATGAAATAAGATTTTTTTTCCGAAGACTTGGTACTTGTTTTTATACTGGTACATAAAAAAAGAGCCGTGCATGAACATCAGCTGCTCAGAGAACAAACCAACACAGAGCAGGAACTCACAACAAATTACTGTATTACTTTATTATGGACCCAAAAATATTTCGGCCCATTAAAAGAATTTCAGCCTCCAAAAAGCACATTTTTTACTATTTTACTAATTAAAAATAAAATAATCTTTTTGCTCGACATATTTAGTATTCAGGATTAAAATATTAAGAAAGAAACCTCACGACCTACAACTACCACAGACGACTCATTGGGACCCCAGGGTTGGATGGAGAGCAGGTTAAGAGCCACTGGTTTATACCGGCTGCCAGAGGTCAGAATTTCCCAGTTTTAAGCAGCTGTTACATCTCCAACATGGAGGTCATTTTGTTTTTGCACCCAACTAATCCAGCACAGCCCCTACCTACGATCGCCTAAACATACGAATTTTCCAACATCCGAAATGAAATTCGATCAATATTCGACTCGACACCCAAGGTCATAGAAAAAAAAATATATATGAAAATTAAATAAAATAAATAAGCCAAGTTCATTCAAAGTTTAGGTAGTGAAAGTTAAGGTAAGTTAGGGTTCGTCCTGTATCTCAGTTTCTACCTGCCAATAAAACCCCTTTTTATTGATTATTTCTTTATAATTTATTTATTTTTACATTTCTCTTATGTAATTAATTTGTTTTACTGCTATGTGTAATTATCTGCAGTATTTATTAAGGCGTTATCGAAGGTTTTTGGGCTGTGGAATGAATTATACCAATTACAGTGTGTTCTGCTGGGAATATCTTAACCAACATATGAATATTTTAACATCAGAAGTAGGTCCTGGAACCAGTTAAATTCCTCTGTAGAGGTTCTGCTGTATTGGTGGTTTTAAATGATCTCAGAGGCTTTGGCATAATTTCCTGTGGTCATTCTGGGCACAGGTAGCGCGACAGCCGCAATTACTGCGTTTCTTCTTTGGAAAATGTGTTTTATCGGCTCATTTCCTGCTGCGTGACACTCAGTAAAAGCATGCAGGGACACAGTCCCATTCCCGCGTTTTCCCGCTTTGCAACACGTCTTTAACTGTGCATCCTAAGACTGGACCACAGCCACTGGACTGCCGTCATTTGGGATTAAATCCTCGTTTCTGTGCTGCTCGCCTTTTTTCCTCAGACTAATCAAAAGCTGCTCTAAGTGGTGGGCGAAGGGGGGGGCGGGGGGGAGGGGGGGGTCAGACTGAATCACACTCTGGCAGAAAAATGACACATAAACACATGTTATTGTACAGTACAAAAACAACTTTATTTACAAAAAAACAGACCACTGCCCCCGGCCCACAAACCCCGAAGTCCAGTGATTTGTGAGGAATGCTGCGTCTGTGGTTGGGAATTTACTGGACTGACAGGAACAACACCCAGCAAACCTTCAGGATTTTTCCTCCACCCACTTATTCAGTCTGACTTTGCCCGGCGTCTAATGGCACAGGAGGGCGAGCGGCTCCCGTCGGGGCCCTTTGTTCTAATCAAAGGGTCAAAATGATCAAACGGTGGCTGGGCTCTCTCTCTCACCTGGGCTCCGCGGCAGGCTCCAAAAATGAATCCTCTTTTCTAAAACTAGTGAAAATGTCTCAGCTTTGCCGGGGTTTGTGAGCCCCGGACGGGTCGGCTCTTCGGGGGCCTCTAGAAGGCGTAGCGGGTGCGGATGTCCTCCAGCTTCTTGGAGACCTCTGGGGGGGTCCGGTCCAGCTCCTCGGCCACGCTCTTCTGCTTGTGGGGGTCCATGCTGTTGAACTGCTCACACAGGTCCCCGTCGATCACGTTCTGCGGGACAAACACAGCGTGGGGATCAGCCGGAGGCCCTCAGGGGACAAAAAAAACGGCCCCTTTGGGCTTCTGCATGGGCATAAGGGGGTTTTATGGTTTATCCAAACTCTTCAAAGCAGAAAGAGACCCCCCCCCGGTGCCAGAGGCCGGGCAGTCGGAAAGAAATCAGAAAGTATACACCGCCAATTTCAAATAATTCAATAAAGACACATTCTGTATCCACTGAGAGGTCTGACCTCCAGCTAAAATCTAATAAAAACATTTCTATGACCAAAGCTGATGGAAAACCAGCCTTTTTGGGTACTTTGGCATTTTTATTTTATTCTTTAAGGACAAATTTAGATTTTCTTACATGTATATGTAGGGTTTCATTTAGTTTCTGAACAACTGTTGGGATCTAGAAGGTTTAAATGCTGAATAATAACTAAAGAGATACGTTTAGCTCTGTTTTTTGTCTTATTGTGTCAACTTTCTTGGTCTTCTGAGCTTCTTTTTTGGTCCTTTGGCCTTTTCTTTTTGTTCTTTTAGGACAGCTTTGGATCTTTTTCATGTAAATTCATGGTTTCATTCAGTTTCTGACCCACTGGGGGACTCACTGACAGCTGCTGGATGCTTCCAGCTCTGATGGATCTTCAGTGTGAGCGTCATCTTTTTTTCTTAAAAATATCAAAGAATAAATTCAACCAAATTAGACCAAAAAAAGGAAACTACAAACCTTGACGGGGAAGTAATAGGACCTGAAGCTGAGATGGTCCCTGCCGCAAAACGGGGGGAACTCGGAGCGCATGTGCATCTCCAGATGCTGGAAGAAGTCGTGATCCTGGAAAACGTCAGGAAAACATGTCAGAAGGCCATTTTTCACGACTTCAAAACAAGCTAGTGAGTGTTTAGTGATGGTTTAGGGACGTTTGGAAAGGCCTTTTTCCAGTTATTTCAGTCCAGGCCTGCGTGTTTGTGTTTTACCTCGTGTGAAGTGAAGGGCACCAGGATGCCGATGCCCCCCGACAGCGTGGTGTAGACCAGCGACTCGGAGCCTCCCGGGATCAGGGTGGTCTTCTGGAGGGACAGCACCGTCTCTCCCACGTGGTAGTTGACCACAACTTCAGCCTGGACGCACACACACAGCGAGAGGGCGTGAGCGGGGGAGAGGACAAAGGGGGCCGACGGGGAGGGGGGCCGGTTCGGACGGGAGCGCTCTGATCACACAAACAACACGTCAGACGTGTCACCTGAAGCCGTTTTAGGGGCTTAACGCGCGTTAAGGTCGTTAGCGGGGGCCTGCGTGCCAGGGCCGGAGAGGAGACGCTGTCATCCTCTGCCGGGAGGAAATTGGAGCAGATGGTTTAACCCAATAGCCGTCAGGCACTGCGAGGTCACCCTCGGGGGGCCTCGGCCTCAAAGGGGGCAGCGGAGCGGCGCCCAGTCCTGGACGCCGCCCGCGTGAGAGCGCAGAGAGGGAGAGGCGGCCCGCTCTGAGGGGGAACAACAGCTTCTCTGTCAGACTTACAGGCCCAGTCTGCTGAGCCTCACTCACAACACCCAAAGCAACTTTAAAAGTATAAGCCTCAGATTAAACTTACAAGTACAACAGGTCACATGACTAAACAGCAGGAACGTACAAACCTAGCTATAAGTGGTAAACCAATAAGCAATGCAAATGAAGATAAATGAGTGAAATAAAGTAAAAATAAATAAATAAAAATAAGAGAAATATATGTTATATGAAAAAATTTAAATAAAAAAAAAAAAACATTAAAATTTTTTAAAATAATGAGTCCTAAAAAATAGAAATAACAAAAAATAAATACATTTTGAAAAATTTAAATAATGAGAAATTTACTGCATTAGTATGGTCATGGGTGGTTTCCATCTGTCGACAGGGATTTTAAATGGATCAAGCTGAGCTCGTCTCAGATGAGCTGAGCTGTCCAGACTAAAAGGTGGTTTGGATGGAAGATGGATGGGTCCAACTCAACACCAACTGCCCCCTCGTCACTTTGACATCTACGAGAAAACCCACTCTGGGTGGAAACCAAAGCATCGTGCACCTGATCAGCAGCTTTAAACATGCTTTCCTTCCTCCTGTTTCCTGTTTGGAAGTTTAAACTGAGCATCAAACAGAAGTAAAAACCCACAGCGACCTCCCAAATGCTGGATCTTCATGTGGGAGCGCCGCCTTAAATCACAGCTCAGCGGGGTCATTTTCAACCTAAATTCTGTCCGAGCTTCACATTGACTGGAGACATTCTGGTCTATAACATAACTGGGATTGCACAGTACAAAGACAGTGAGTCCCTTCATCTCAGTCCACAGACAGCTGTGTCCGGCTGACCTTTTTATTTCGAGATAAATTAATTCAATAAAAGAGGAATGCATCTAATTTAATGGGAAACATCATCTAGCCCGGCCGCGTAGGGATAATCGAGTTCCACTGGCCAGATGCCGATTCATACACAGACACACACCTCTGGATACAGTCTGGGCGTTCACGCTGGCGCCTATAAATAGACCCGCTGCATTTCCAAACTCAAATGAATCAAATGTGTGCAGAGGCAAAAATAGCAGACAAACACTGTGTCACAAAGTAAACTGGGACCAGCTCGTCCCGTCTCCTCCGGAGGGACTTTCCCAGTTTGGGTGCCACCTAAACATTCTCTGGCCAGCACCGGTAGGGCAGCGTTTCTCCCCCCTTTGTGAGGAGGTCCAGGCTTTCCTCCGCTGGAGGTCAGACACAGATCAGACACTTCAGGCTTTAACGGCCGAGGAGTCGAGTCAGGACTTCATCTGTGTGTCAGTTAAAGAGCAAAAGACGTCTGAAAACACACCGGCCGGTTTTCTATGTGTCTGTGGAGCTTTTGCTTTGAGAAATGTTTTTTAAAATATACAGATATATCAAATTTAAGGTTTTAACAGGAGGAAACGAGACTCAAAGAGCCCTTCAAATGCTCCAAATTTATCATTGAGCGTGAAAAGGAGCTGAAACTTAATCCAGTAACTAACCACAGCAGAAAAACATGCTAACAAAGGTTAAGAGTCGGCGTAATAATCCCAAAAATGTCACTCAGTCCAATTTATTTATGTTTCTTTAGTCATAAACTGACTCCCGTTCACTTCCAGACTGTCCCTCTGCTCTAATAAAGTCCTAACTTCATAACTAGAGGCTGCCGTGGAGCATGAGGATGAGTTAAGGTCTGCTGGGAGATAATTCAAAGTGGAGCGGTCACCCTGCAGGCCAGCGGGTCCCTTATCTAATATCTTGGTGGGTTCTCCCAGTTATTACAAACCTGGGGTCTGAGTGGATTAAGACAAGTCCAATAAGGTTTTTCCAGCTCAGGCAGCTGGTTTAAATGAATCCACCTCTTTTGTTTGTAGGCAGAGTTTTGCATTGGTTTCTAATAATAATAATAAGTGATGCCTTTCCACACATTAGAGCATCTTCCACTAGTGGGAAATCTGCAGGGGATCCTGCCTCCTGATGGAAAATATGAGTGGACTGCTCCTATTTCAGCCTCTCCTGTTTCTAAAAGGACTAAAAAATATATTCTATTAGATTTTTAGCGACTCTGTGTTAAATCCTCTATTCACGGCAGCTCCAAAGCAGAGCCCTCTACCGTCTTATCCTTTGGTTTCCATTTACTGAGCTGCTGGGAGTGCCGACTTTTTTTTAAGGAGAACTTTTAGGGGACCATGTAGAATTAGATCTCTAAACTAGGGTTGTCAAAAGTATCGATACTTAAAAAAGTATCGATACTAAAATGTTGTATCCGGATACGATACTCATTTTCAAAAGTATCGATACCACCGCGCGATCCCGTGTGAGTCCGCGCAAGCCCGCGCAAGCGCGCGCGCGACGCTGACCTGCCGTCGCTGCGCTCCTTCTTTCAGATTTATTTATGTATTTATTTACGTTGTTTATGATCATTAACGTGACGTTACCCTTGAACTGCTAGCTGCGGCTAATGGCTAATAATAACATGCTACCATTAATCAAGTACATATCCGTCTCAGCCCACATCCAAATCGGCCATTTTGATTACGTCACCAAAAGGGAAATCCCAGGTAAGAAAATAGTAATGCATCATGGCAATATAGACATTAATTTAAAAATAATGAAATTAATCTTTCAAACACTTAATTAAACTCTATCCATAATAGTATGTTAAAATAGTGGATGTTAAATAGGTTTGTACAATAAGTCCAAACAAGTTTAACCCCAAAATTGTTTCTCACAATTATGAAGGGTTAGGGTCAGGGGGCAGGGTCAGGGTTAGAGTTAGGATTAGGGTCAGGATTAGGGTAATTAATTCGGGCCACCAGCCACGATAACATCAGTAACAGGTCAGTTTTAAATTAAAGACACTAACCTGTCAAAATTCAGTTAAATTTTGGGGTCTTTGTTTTTATCCTTGTGGTATCGAAAATGGTATCGAGTATTTTCCTGAGTATCGGTATCGAGTTGAAAATTTTAGTATCGTGACAACCCTACTCTAAACACATTTCTAGCTCCTTAGTCTTTCGTCCTTTTGTCAGTGAGAGGCTGATCTTAGCTGACTGAGTTGGCTTTATGCTGCTTATTTGTTGATGTGGTGCTGGCCGACAGCACTCTGCAACAGCTGCTTGTACAAATAAAGCTGGGCTGGGTGTCGGGATGTGAGCCCGTGCGGCCTGCAGAGCGACGACAGGGCAGGTCGACAGCCGTCAGCTCTGAGCTGCTTTCACACATTTACAGCAGAGGGGGGGCACTGCGGGGGGGCCGACAGGAGGTGGAGGCCTTAGCGGCTCCACTGAGAGCAGACAGGCTTCTTAAAGCTGCCCGGAGTAGGTGACGCTGAAACCTTATTCTGCATCCTAACAAATCTGCTCTCTAGCGCCTCCGTTTCCAAATGGGTATTGCAGCTACGCTAGCAGTCAGGCATCAAGAAGTAATGACAACATGACTTCCACATCACAGTTCATCAGAGTTTTCTCTGGTGATGAGGTTTGGAATTGAAAAAAAAAATCATTTAAATTAATTGAAAAGAAAATCATTTAAATTAATTGAAAAGAAATTTCAGTCACGTGACTGAAGGAAAACGTGTTGTTGATTAGCTAGACAGGCGGACTAGTGCTTTATGTTCCTCTCAGCTATTCTAGTTTTTCAAAATGGCAGATTGCCATGGAAACTTCTCTGGACTTACCCGTCCTGTGTGTATTCAGATAGGAAATTCTTCCTTATGAGGGGAAGTCAGATCATTGCGGAGGTAATTTAACACCAAATGAAGACACATTTATAAAAGAAAGAAAATTTTAGCGGATAAAATACTTAAAATACTACACAGTGCCCCTTTAAGGGGAGCAACCGAGGTAAAAAACCCTTCCGAGCTGCACAGCGGAGGGCTGGAGGACGACGGGGGTCGGACAGGCTGATTAATGGGGTCTCACCTTCTGCGAGGCTCCGTTGAGGAGGCCCCTGTCCCACAGGGCTTTGTTCCCCGTGGGGTCCTCGTCCACGTCGTCGCTGGTGTTGGGGGGCAGCCGCACCTGGGAAAACAAAGCAGGTCCCGGTGACTCCTGGGCTCTGCGGCGGGCGGGCGGGCGGCGCCGCGGCGGCCGAGCGCCACTCACGATGCTGATGTTGCCGAACTTGTCGGCGGAGGCCATGGTGTCGTAGTCCAGCAGGCAGGCCGTGGTCACCCAGCGGGGGTAGGTGTCGTCGGCGAAGATGATGAGCTGGTTCTCGTTGCGGCGGTAGCGCACCCAGAACAGGCTCTCCTGCACGTCGGACACGATGACGCGCTGGCCGATGGTGTAGATGCCCGACACCAGGTTGGGGACGTGCTGCGGGGGGGGGGGGGGGGAAACAGGAGAAATCTGAGCCCCCGTCACCGGCCCGAGGCTGAGGCTTCTGCCTCAGAAATAACATCTGGAGATTTTTTTTTTCTTTAATCCAAACATCAACAGAAAAGGTTTTAAACTAATTTTGCTGGATGGCTTCAGCCCGGAAAAAAAACTCCCAACGGTCGTTCATTCTGAGCGAAAACCCTCTGACAGACGTGGTTTAAGGTGAGCTCCGGTTCACAGACAGAGGAAAGACGGCGCTGAAAGGCCGGCCAGATCAATACCAGCTCTTATTATTCAGTCTAGTTAAACCTCACATGGTTCCAATAAGCTGATCTAAATAGCTCAAACACATTTATCAACTCTCTTTTGACATTGCTGCTATATTTACAGAACATCTGGAGCTGGAGAGGAAAACCTCATCAGACTCCTCTGAACATGGCAAAGGTTTTACTTTTCAAATGGAGAATAAATGTAAATGTTTTAATTACACTGATGTGTGGTTGAACACTTTTCCTGACTGATCAGTGATAACTAACACTAACTAAAACAACCATAGATGAGGCTGAATGATGGTCAGAGGCACGAAAACATCAACATCTTTGGTTTGAGATGTTCTAGTAAAAAACAACCAAAAAATAGTTTTTCAGCACGTTTGTGGACAAAATACAGACAGTGAGAAAAGAGTGGAAAATCAGGCCTCTTTTCCTGTTTAATTACAGTAATTATAAAACAATAAATCAGATTTGACTGTTTGACGAGGAACATTTCTAAAGAAATGGGAACTAAGAGGAGTGACCGGGTTGTGTCTTTGGGGAAAGAGGAGAATAAAGAAAATTCCCCGTCTGACAGCAGCAAAAAGCTCTTTTAAGCTGTGGAGGAGGTGACGGGTCCCCCTCCAGCTGGCATCAGTCGGCCTTAAAAAGAGGCTTCCTGGCTTAAAACGTCTCCTCATCCAGAGAATATGGGGCACAGAACTCTGACATGGCAGGAGGCCGTCCGGGTCGGTGTGGGTGGGAACCCGCTCCTACCTTGTTCTCACACTTGCGCAGCAGCTTCTTTTTGCCCAAGTCGTAGATTCTCAGCAGCTTCCCGACGCCGACCAGCACCCGGCCCTGGAAGGGGGCGATGGCCAGCGGCACGTCCTCCACCGGGGTCTGAAACCAGGAGCAGGCGGGCGTCAGCGGACCCGGTTTGGCCAAAACCACCCGGGTCACAGACCTCTAAAGCTATCTGCCCTGAGGTGGAATCGGATATCAAACTAGACCCAGCAGAAAGGGACTGTATATCCTATGTGGAAATCAGGATTTAGAAGCTAAATAAATAAATACTTTTTCAACAACTGCATTCAAATCAAGCATTTATCTGATTAAAACAAGCAGAAAAATCCACTTAAAAATAATGCATCTAATTCCCCAAAAGTCACTAAAAGAAAACACTAAAATGGCAAAAACATGACAGAAAAAATGGCAAAACTGAAAGATTTGTTTTATAATGTAATAACATCATTAATAAGAGCTGAATTTTCTGGCTGTTGTTCCTAAAAGTGCTCTGGAAGGAGGTGACAGCTTCTGTCTGAGACCAGCTGCTCTGCTGAGTCATGCTTTCTCCAGGATTCAGCTCTCAGTAGCCGACTCACACTTCAAAGATGTGACCCAAACCGCTCTGACAGGGAGTTACCGACCAATCAGAGCCCCCTAACCACCATTTATCCTCTAAAACAGCCCGTCAGCGGCTCATCTGCTCGCTGCAGGAAGTATTGTGTCTCTGTGTGTGTGTGTGCATGTGGGGGATCAGCTGTGTGTCCACATGCGTGTCAAAAAGCGTGCTAGCAGACAGAATCCCCGGAGACCGCCAGACCTGGTTAAGTGGTTGGGAAATCCCTCCGGCTCGGGGGGGAGAGGAGGCCGAGGCCACTGTGACAAACAGTGACTCGCCACTTCCACCCCGCGCCGCCCCGCGTCAGGTAGCAGCTGCATCCAGCGTCCTGGGAAAAAGCCCCCGGGGCGGCACGGGGCGCCCACACGCCTCCCGGTGACTCAGAGGAGCCGTTCCCCTTCGAGTCAAAGCCCCCTCTGGCTCCTCAAAGTCAGGAGAAAGGACGGAAAACGCCCACAAAAGTCAGCCGGGATGAAGAAAAAACCGAGACACTCACCTTGTGCACAAACTCCAGCTTCTCCCCGCCGGCCGTGAGCCGATAGGTGTAGATGAAGCCGCCGCCCACCGAGCGCGGGTTGAGGATCATGTCTCTGGCCACGCCCACCAGGACGTACCAGTCGTCCCCGGTGTTGGGGAACCGGCACACCGCCACACTGGAAGGGGTCAGCAGAGGTCAGAGCTCCGGTCTCACCAAAGAGCATCCAGAACCTGATGCTGCAGTTCTGACCAGAACCAGGACCGCATCAGTCCACTTCTGACCAGAACCAGGACCACATCGGTCCAGTTCTGACCAGAACCAGGACCGCATCAGTCCAGTTCTCAGGTTTATGGCTTCTTGTCTCTCAGAGACTTTAAAGCAGCTCTGCATGTGTTCTTCATGGTCTAAAGTCCATCTCTGGACCACCTGGACTCTAAAAACCAGGTTCTGGTCTCCTGCTGGGACCAATAACCAGACCAGGAGAGGCTTCATTTCAGTTTACTGCTCCTAAAATCTGGATCAGATTTTTCCCACACTGGGGAGCATTGGGAATGTCACCTCTGACCAGAGAAAATTACACAAAATTCCAAATATAACCTTCGTTTTTCAGATGTGCTAAAGCCAAAAAACTCCTTTATGGTGGAAATTCCTAAACCCTTCCTCTACTTCACTGGAGGGTCAGCCGGTTTGCGGCGGGCTGACACTAAAGCGCCCTCTGCTGGATCACAGGGGGACACATTTTCACTGCGCACAAGCTAGAGCCCAAATCCTCAATAAAAAACAAGCTGAATCAAACTCAAACTACATTCAAACATCTGTTAAGGAGCTCGGACAGAGCAGAAATCCTCAGCAGCCGCCCTTCAGCAAAAGGAAAATAAATTATTCCCCAATTCTGGACTGCTGGACATGAAATACGGAGCAAATTCAACGTCTTCCGTCAGAGTGAGAGTCTCAGGGCCAAAGACGGGAACAATAAATCCTGCAGGTCGCTCCATCTGAATGATGAATGCCACAAAGGAAAGCTGATTTATTCTTTTCCCTTACATCATAACACAACGGGGGGAAGGGTGGGGACCTCAAAGCTTAGTTATGGTGTTTTTTATCTACAGATCTTCACAGATTGTCTCATAATTAGCGGACAGCTCCTGGAAACGGGCCCTGTGACCCTGCTCTGCCGCTCACCTGAAGGCGGCCTCGTTCTGCTCCAGCTGCACCTGGTCCAGCGTGGTGCCCTGGATGGGGTTGACCAGCCGCACCAGCGAGGCCCACTGCCCGGCGCCCGCCTTGGGCGAGCCGAAAATGGCCTCGGGGAGGTTCTCGTTGAGGAAGGCGGCGGCCATCTCTGCAGCCAGCTCTCGCTCGTCCTCCCCAGCAGCTTCCACCATCTCCTGCAGGGACAGTCCAGTTTCAATTAGTCAGAACTGTGTGTGTAGTCAAAGTTTAAAGAGAGACAGAAGGAAGGAATAAGGAGGGAAGGAAAGGAGTAAACTAAAGGAAAGAGTAAGTAGGTAAAGGAAGGAAGGAGGAGTAAAGGACGTCAGAGAAAAGAAAAGGAAGGATGAAGGAAGAAAGGAAGGAAATGCAAGTAAAGGAAGGAGGTAAGTAAAGAAAGCAGATGCATGAAGGATGGGTGGTCTCCTCGTTCTTGATGTTCTGGGTTCCAACCCCCCAGAAAACCCTTCGGTTTCTCTTATTCCCCACAAACTGAACTGGACCCTGAGTGGACTCCGGGCCTCCGGCTCAGAGGGGTGGACCTCGGGGGGGCGTACCTCGGCCATCTGCTGCTTCCGCTGGGCTTTGGTGGCCTCGGTGTAGGCGTTGTGGTCGGTCTCGATCAGGACCAGGTTGTTGGTCTCCGGGTGGATGACAAACTTCCGGGGAGTGTACTGCAGAGGAAAGGCCACCTGGTTGAAGACGGCGCCCAGCTTCTCCAGAGCCAAGATCCTGCACAGACACAGAGTCAGCGGGTCCCGGCCGGGGAGCTCTGCGCCCAGCCCCACCCAGGGTCCACCCACACCTCAGCGTGTTGGTGGAGATGGCCACGATGCCCTCTGGACACTGCTCCGAGGCGAAACCAGAGGCGTACTCCAGCGTCTCGTAGGACAGGGGGGTGAGGTGGAAGCGGGACTGGTAGGAGTAGCTGAGCCACGAGCGGCTGGACATGGCCAGCACCTGCCGGGCAGAGGTCAGAGGTCAGACCCGTAGGAGCCAAAGGGTTAAAGCTTTCGGTGGGCTTCGGGTCAACTCACGGCCTCCTGTCCCTGCATCCTGACTCGGAACAGCTTGACGGGTCGGGACCCCAGGTACCGAGTCCTGGTGTCGGACAGGTCGCCGGTCACTGGGTCCAACACGGTCCTGAGCAGCACGCCGTTCTGCGGGAAGAGATCGCAATCAAATACCAACCAGCAACAGCAAAAAACACAAAACGGGGGAATAAAGATGATATTTGTTCATTATTAGACTTTTTGTTTAGGGGAAAATCAGGTGATGCGTTTTTGCCCTGAAATCTCTGTATTTCTGGGCATGAGATGAAGTTGAATCTAATTATAAAAGAAACTGGTATGGATTTTACCCCCCAAAAACACCTTTTTTATTGGACATGTTTGTAAATTTCCAGCTGATTGTTCAAATTTGAAATAACTATTCTTCTTCGGCTATCAAAAGGAATGTTTTAGGTTTGATTAGCTTTAATTTAAGAATAAGCTGTATATTTCTTAATAAAAACAGGTTTAAGGTAAGCTTGACTCCACCCCTTCTGGCTCTTATAACTTTAAACTGTGACTCATTCATTATTAACATGTGATGCTCCTCGATCCCTTGAACCAGTTTTTGGTCACATGACTGGTGTTGAAGGTGGATCAGTCTTCTCTAAAGACATGCTGCGGGGGCAGGATACCTGAAGGCCGATGTTGAGGTAGAGGAACCCGATGGTTCCCTTGTCCCCCAGCTCGTCCTGCTTCTCCACCCCTCCCATCTCCACGATGCACAGGCTCTCTGGCTGCGCAGGAAGCGCCTGCATGCTGAGCGGCTGCAGACAGTCCTGCAAACCAGGAAGACACAAAGTCTTCAAAACCAGCTGGAAAATTGATTTTTTTTTTTTTAAACCGAGCCCGTATTTCCATAACCACCATCTGTAATTGGAGGAACCAGGACACTCGTGGAACCAGAGGGTTCCCATTCAGCCGCCCGCGTCAGGCTGAGGTTAATCGGCTGCGACTGACAGCCACAACTTATTGTAGTTTAGCTCAAATCTGCGGGCATCAGGGAGCACTTCATAAAAACCTAAAGCTCCAGGACCCAGCTGGGTTTAATCCAGAGGTGGAGACCCAGCAAAGCCCACAGGGGCCAGCCGAGTAGCACATCTGGACACGAATTCTGCTGTTCTGCTGGGACGGGCGGAGCCGGTGCTGCATCACACGCAAGCAGCCAGAGGCCAGCGAGGCCAGAGGCCCGCTGGGTCAGAGGCCTGTTCGGTTTAAGTTATTTCTGCAGTCGGGGCCAACTGGCCCCTGCGACTGCCCTGCGAGGGGCACCTAAAAGCCTTCAGTTTTCTCAAAAACCGACGGGAGCCTCATATGTGGATCAAGATTGAGCAGCAACTTGCAGCTACAGAAAGCAGCAGCCGACTCCACTTTCTCCCGTAGAAGAAGTAGCGCGTGGTGCATGCTGGGATATATGACTGCGCCAAGCGTGCATTTTCATTTCCATTTGCCGTATTCGCCCAACTGTTCAATTCGGACACTGAAGAAGAATTCGAGGGATTTGTTGATGAGAAATTAACTGATAAAGGGACATTTACATGTTTCTTTTGTGTGTTTACAGCTTAACAAGATTGGTCATATTGTGAATATGGACACCAACGTTTGAACAACGTTGAGTTATTGTTGCTTTGCACCACTTCCAGAGTTCCTGTATTGTAGTGCAATAACGTTTGATTTACTGTAATAGTATCAGACTGTTTCTTTTTCCCATTTACTGAATCGAAGAAAAGTTCTCCTCCACTATGTGCCTTATAGTGCAGTAAATACGGTAGCCATCAGGCAGAGCTGTGTCCAGAGGGGGGGGGGGGGGGAACAGCCTGAGTTCCTACCGAGGGGTCCAGGGAGATGATCCGCACGGTGTTGTCCACCAGCCCCACGGCCAGGAAGCGGGAGCGCTGCTCGCCGGGCGGGACGTTGGCCAGGCTCATGCAGACCACGTCGGCAGACATCTCCTTCCGCTCGGTGTACTCGTTCAGCTGGCCGGACTGGAGGTGAAAGCAGCAGAGTCATCGCCTTCCATTGTGCTCATTTACATCCAACACCGCTAATAAAGTCCCAAACTGCTAAAACACGACTTTCAAACAGATTCAGACGGACGCATGTCTGACGTTTAACCCTCAGGAGGTCTGAGGGACTTTTCCAGAAGGTCCCAAAGTTTATGAAAATATCTCACTGAGGTGCTAAAACTTGTGTAAAATGGCAAAGCTACACATTTGATCCAAATCTGGAAAAATATCCCTTTGAAAATCAACTAAAATAAAAATTTTAGGCCGAATTCCTTCCTGTTCAGATTGAATTTTGCACGTCTAGCTTTCAGGTTTCTATTTCTACATTTGTCCACAAGATGGAGTGACTTTTTGCCATCAAAGCAGATGGTAAAGCCTCAGTTATTACAGTATTCTGATGTGAAAACGCAGCAAAATCAAAGTTCCTGCCGACCACAGATGCGTGTCAGGAAATCACGCAAATAATCAAACAATTTAGGTTTGTTTACATTAGAAAATCTGGGGCTGTGAAAACATTCTGGGCCCTAAAGGAATAAAACCCTAATAAATAGCCTGTGTGCATATCTCAGATAGGAGGTACTTTTAAAGAATGAGACTGAAGAATCATATTTTTACAGCAGTTTGAGGGACGTTTTCACTGTTAAAGGACATGAAATGATAACAAAAAAACAAAAGACAGCATCAGCTGTCTGTCCACTTCCTTACCGGGTCCATCTCAAAGTAGACCAGCTCCCCCCCGGTCAGGGCGATGACCACTTGCCGCTGGTTGACCGCACAGCGGACGATCGTCTTCTTACCCGGAGTTTTCCACTCGTTCACACGCTTGTCTGCTCGAATGTGGCGGATGCCGTCTGGGTAGACCTGGGGGGGGGCACAGATGTGTTTATTCGTGTGCTCCGTGTGTGAAGCTGGTCCGACGGCGGGCCCAGATCACCCACCTGCACCAGGGCGTCCTCCCCCAGGAGGGAGCAGGACAGGGTGGGCGTGGTTCCCAGAAACCCAGAATCAGTCACTTCCTCCACGGTCTCCCCGATGGACAGCACCAGGGTGGCGTTGACGAAGGACACGATGATGTAGGCGTCAAACTCATCTGATGAGGGCAACAGAAAAAAGGGAGGGGCTCTCTTTAGACGCAGGCAATGTATCTGACTAAATAAAACATCTGTGAGAAGCTTTTCTATAGTTTCTTTGTGAATGTGTGCTCCTCTCTTAAGCCTTTGGTGGTGAAGGTTAAACAACTGGAGAACCATTGGAGGTGGGGGGCATTACCTTCCACATGTCTGCGGACCGTCCACACGGCGTTGGGGTTACCGGGCAGCTCAGACACGGCCATTTCAGAAACCTGAGGAAGAGTCGGACAAGCAGAACAACGATTAATTCACCCGCCGGCAGCAGGAATTCTGTCAGGTCATAAAACGTCTAAAGCTTTGTGGCATCTGAACTCATTTCTTATGTTTGGGATCGCTGCTGAAAACCAGCATTCAGGTCACTGTTTGTGAGCGTATGTTCGTCCGGCTCCATTATTCTTTATTCAGAAACAAACTACACTGTTAAAAAGACAACGCTGAGATTCTGGTCAAACAAACTCTAAACTGAAGCCATTTTAAACCAATCTAAATCAAACGCTGTGACATTGTGTTTAATAAAAGTTGGTGCTGGTTATAACTTTTTTAGATTAAATCATTTCTGTGTCATTAAAAGAGCTTAAAACATCCTGAACGCTCCTTTTCTGTCTCCACTCAGTAACTTAGTAATAGTTAATGTGACTTTCTGAGGGTCAAATGTGTCAGACAGGAACAATTTTGTGTTAAAACTTAATTCTTTTCCATTGAATTAAAGCAATGGCTGCTCTTTGCGCGGCTTTCTCTGTCCTATTTTCAGAATAGGAACGTTTGCATGACTAAATCAATCTGTTAAGCGGCTGAAATCAGAACAATAAACAGACTCTTCAGATCGTTTTCAGAGAAGAGACATGAAAACTTCATCACTCAGCCAGGAAAGTGTGTGTGGACTGTGTGTTCTGTGATGAGAAGGGCGTGCACCTCCAGTCCATGCCGAAGCACCCGCAGAGTGGACCTGGGTCCTCGTCCACAGGCCACATACAGCTGAGGCGTGTCCTCGTTCGCCAGATCCGCAATCTGAGGAGCAAAGTGGTAAAAAAACATTGAATAAATGCGGGTTTCTCATTTCCATTTTCCTCCTTCGGGATTTCTAACAGGATCGAAATCAGCCTGAACTCTAACGTGCACTGATTAATTTTCCCTGTGCAATACGTACTCTTATGTGCAATATATTTAGTTATTTATTTAATCTGTATGCCACTTACACCATTATTATTCATTACCGCTGATTTTCCGCATTGACTCTGCAGCTTGTAATCTTACATTTATATTATAAATACTTCATATTTTCTATTCACACTCTCCTATTTTGCCTGTTTTTGGTGGCTCTGATCTCATTATACTATGTATAAATAAATCAGGTCAATAAATTTAAATAAATCAATCCAATAGAGGTCTTCTGATTCTGATGAGGAGCTCACTTGGCAGGACATGATGGGCGACAGGTTCTCCTGCTCATCCACCAGCACCAGGTTTTTAAGGGGGCGGGGCTGGAAGAAGAAGGTGTCCCCCTCCTCCAGAGGCATCGCCGAGGAGAACTCGGGCTCCTCGTCGTCGTCTCCCAGGTGAGCGATTTGGTAAAGGTAGCTGAGGGAAACAGTGACCGGGAGATGGAGCAAAGTCAGCAAAAGCCACAGGGTTTAGAGGCGCCGTGAAGAGGAGGAGGAAGGAACTTACTGGTTTCCAAACTCTGAGGCCACAAACAGGAAGCCGGTCTTCAGGACACACATGGCTGTTGCCACGGGGATGGTGTCGAAGTACTTCAGTCTGATCTCTGTCACCTAAGAGACAGAAAGCGGGTCACCCACATGCAACACCGGGGCCTTTTTAGGCTGAGAAGGCCAATCAGAGACGTCGGCACGCACCATTTCTTCATCCGTCTCCAGGGTGACCTTAAAGATGTCCCCCTGCTCGGTCTGAGCCAGGAAAAAGAACATGGACTTGGTCTTGTGGGTGGCTGAGCAGACAAATATCATGCCACGCTCCGGGTCGTCCAGGTCGTTCTGTGGGAGCGAGGGCAGCAGAAGTAAGCAGGACAAAAATAAGTATCCAAACATGACAAGAAAATGACGGAGTGGCTTTCTTGCATAACACATTTTCCACACAAACAGGAAAAATGGTGCAGTCTCTCCTTATGTGAGCGCAGCATAAGTCTGTACAGTGAGGAGCATCGCAGCCCTCTGCAGACAGTCCAGGAGTTTACCGTCTACGCACCCTTCACTTTAACCAGTTATAAGCTTATATCTATTATATTAGATTATTAATAATTATAATAATTAGATAACTTTTATTTGTTTAAGATTTGTTCTTACAGTTTAGTGTTTTGCCTTTTGTTTTTGCACATGATATAGTTTATAGTGCTTTAATTTTTTCTTATATTAAGACTTACTTTTATTTCTCAAGTTTTGAATGTGAATAAGTCTGACTTTGTAGTAAAGAATTGACGATAAAGCCAACTTTGACTTGACAAATCTGTCCTTTAAATGCCTGGAAACCTGACGGGTTGTGTATAAAACGGGACTCTCACCCTCCGCCTGGGGATGGGACAGCGGATGTCAGGCTGGTCTCCAAAGTTCTTGTATGTGATGTAGTTTTCAGAGCAGATCAGAACTCCACTGGGTCCATCCGATCCACCAGGAACTGGACAGGGAAGAAGAGGGTCCAGTTAGCTTCTTTTTAAAATGGAATGTACCAGGATTAGCTCCTTCAGGGGGGGCTCTCCCTCCACCCTGAGTCTCACAGCTCTTTTGGTGAATTCCTGCTGAGATCAGAGAGGTTGAATCTTTCTCCACGTTTAATCAGAGAAGAGACATGATACACTCATCACATCCACAGCACGTCATCGCTGATCCAGAGATTTGTTTTAGCACTGATTTACCTTTGAGATTTTCAGTTTTATCCACATTTTATTATAAAATGTTGCAGAAACTTTTTTCCTCAGTGCGGAAATGAAAGACTTGGAAACAAAGATAGATAGAGCCACCCAAAGGAGCTCGAGAGAAGCTGAACAACAGGCCGCGTGTCATTACCAGTAATGAGGAAATTTCCGTGCTCTTCCAAAGCTTCACTGTACTTTCGGACCACGTGATTCAAGCCGAGGTCGAGCTCGTAGAAGGTGAGCGTCTGCTGGGTGTTGGCGGCGGCCTCTCCCGTCGGGTCGTTGTCCGCCTCCTGGACAGGACACGCCAGACATGGTCAAAATCAGCCGGCATTAGCTTTAAAATGCTATCACTCCTCTGGTAAAGACGCCTCCGGCAAGCATCTGTTCACCACTAACCTCGTAGTCCATTTCTAAGCAGGCAAACATGGGATTTTCAAAGCCGACATCCACTCCGACCACATGGTAGACCAGTGTGTTTGCTTTATGGGCTTCCAGAGGCGAGGAGATGGTCAACCTCGCTGCAGCGTCTCTGTTCAGAATATAAACCAGCTTCTGTTTCTCTATGGCTCCTAAAGAGGTGGAGGACAAAACCAATCATCTTTACCTCATCAACTTAATCACAATGAAGTCAGAGGGAAAAAAACAGATTCATTAAAGCATAAATGGGTGGATTTTTGGATAGTGAAGAGGTTTTTAAATATTGTGCAGAGTAGGATACAGACAAGCTGGAAAAAAAGTTGGATTTTTGGATAGTAAAGAGGTTTCAGCCCTCACCGATCATGACAGCTCTGCCTTTGGGGTCGACAGCCAGGTACTGTCCAGGCACGATGCGCCGGCAGCCGCTCTTCCCAAACGTCTCCTGGTGGATCTTCTCAAACATGTTCTTGGATGGATGATACTCCAGGATGACGATGCGACCACTGTCACTTCCCACGACGATGTAGTCTTTAAGCACATTAGAGAAAGGAAAGAAAACAGCCATCAGATCTCAGGGGAAGTCCTGGAAGGTGCAGATGGAGCTGTGTGTGAAAGCAGAGTCCCCTCAGTCCTGCAGTTTTTAGATGTTTCCCTTCATCAGCACACCTGATTCAGATCGAATAAATGTCCACAAATGGTGCAGCGACATGAATCAGGTGAAGCCGAGACATCTAAAAGCTGCCGGACAGCAGCCCACAGGACCAGTTTCAGACACCTACTCAAAAAGTAGCATGTCTTCATATTTGTTTGAGCTCTGAGATCATGCAGGATTTTCTTAAATTTCTATCTGATTCTGAGCAAACTATAAACAAATTGTTACATTTGTTAGATCAACAAAAAGAAAGCACTGTGATACTACATATGGTTTCTTTTTTCGGGGGGACAGTGACACACAGTGTGCAGCTTTTTAAATTGAACGTCATAAAATTTAAAATTTCGAAGCTCAACAGAAACTTTCCCCCCAGTTGTGGGAAGAAAAGGAAAAATCAGACATCTATCAACCATGAAAACCTTTAAAAAAGGTGTGATGTTTGACCTCTTATGTAAAAAACTGATCCATGCTGGCTCAGATCCACCGAGTCTCTTTAATCACAGCAAGTGTGATGCTCAGGAAAAGACAACAAGCTCGTGGAAGTTACCACCAGCAGGAGGATTCATAAAGGTTTAAAATGCAGAAACTTTTCCAGACATACGGAGCAAATCTAATAATGACTATTACCTTTGGTTCCTCCAGTGAGCCTGAACGCCATCAGAGACCTCACAATGCCAAACACCTCCACGGTGAGGAGAGTGTGCACCTTCCCCGTGTTGGCATCTGGTCGCAGAAGCTCCAGGATCTTTCCCCTGGAAACAACAATCTCCTGCATCTTCGTCCCTGTCAGAACCAAAAATATCTCACGTCAGAGAAAGCTAAAGGAACCCAAGATATCCGTGGCTCAAACACAACTCTGTGTTATTACTTTTATGCCCATATTGGAGCAGTGGTATCAATACACGTCAGTCTAAGGTGATCAGAGTGAAAAAAGAAAGATAGAAAAACAATAAAACACCAGACACACACCAGAAACATTTTTTAACAAATCCACAATAAGATAATAGTGAATTTAACGCCTCTTTAGAACAATGATCTCCAGATTTTAGCAGGGACTGTCGCAGTTTTATGGAGGACCACAACTTAAGCTATAAAGATGCACATTAAACGCTGTCAACTGGGGGTTAATTCAGCTTTTCTCACGCGCAGGACAAAGATGGAGGAAGCTCACCTGAGAAGTTTCCATGGATGGCATGGGTGATGCCAGTGGCTCGCTGCAGGGTAATGTTGTACAAAAACATGGCTCCCTCTCAGTGGCTTGTTGTTCTGGGGTTGCAAACAGAGCTCTTAGCTCCGGTCAGGGCTGGAGATAAAAGAGACAAGGGTTTGTGTCCGGCGATTGGAGCGCGAGGCTGAACACGGGCTAAGTTTAAACCCAAGTTGGAAAATGCAGAGAGTCATTGAGTGGTTCCTGTATAGTAGCGGCAATAATATATATACAAATTAAAGTAAATCACAAACAGTAGCATCGAGGCACACAATTTAAACCAACACAATGCAATCATAAGGAACAATTAGGAGTTTTCTACACACAGAACTTAAATGATTAATGTTTACATGCGCACATTAGCATTAGCATGCCTAAATAGTTAGCCTTAACGTGTACCTGCTGCTTTCTGACTCAGTTTCGAAGCTAGTAACAATTGCATGCAACGTTTTAACCTAAGTTATATGATCATTCTGGGTCGCTTTCACCGCCATTCTGCAACCTCAGGACGCCTTTTCATACAAAGCGCCACTTCTGCCCGGCACTTCCTCAACTCACGCTATTTATCTCAAGTGGGTCTATTTTCACAACCATACGACATCCGGCTTATTACGAAAAGGTTGGTAATTCATAAAATGTTATAGTTACCCGCTTGTTTAACAGGATGATTCGGATTGTTGTGGATAAAAATTCATTTACACAATAATTACTGAACAAGCTGACGACTGGGAGCCGTTAGAGGGGTCCTTCCTCCAACAGAACAACGTCATCACAGGTGCCCCAAACTGTGCCTGACAGAAAATAGACTGTAATGGTGCACTGTGTCCAGCAGATGAAGACAAAGAACATGAAACCAATTAATTAGACTTTTTGGTAAGGCGAAAATAGAAAATGCACTAGTATAATGGCATAAGATTAGTAGTAGTATTGGTAGTTGCCTTTAATTTAGTTAACCCTCTTGTAGTCTAAAAATGTTCATTTTTGACATACTTTGACTTTGATATTATGGCTGTAAAATGGGCTGAGAGCGTTTGTCTCTTTTCCCAGGAGAACTTGAGTTTTCAAAATCTGGTTAGAGAAGCAGAAAATAACCCGCTGACTAAATTTGACTTCTTGACCTGGGAGGCATTGAAAGGTTGTATTCTGATACAATTTACCCCTCAGGTTAATGAAAACTCACTTTAACCATCATGTGTATTTAGGAAGGAACTCAGTGAACTTGGATAGATTATTTGAAAGTGAATAAAATAGACATTGTCTAAAATAATGTTCCAAATAATTATTGTATAGATGACTTTTTCTTCTTCACTTTGCTTTAAATGTGTCAAAACCTGTCAGGGGTAGCACATACAACCTCTACACAGAAAGACTCCCAGCAGGGATTAATTGATCTTTATCTATATCTGTGTGTGCATGTATGCATGTAACTTTTTTTATAAAAGTGTCCAAAAAGGAAAAAAACAATTACATGAACTATAGATGTTAACTATGTGAAATCTCAGTAAGGTTTAGGTGACTCTTAACAGTACTCAGGGAATAAAAATACTGAAAATGATAAGCAAATTAGATAAATGTTAAAATAATGGATGTAGTTTGAAATTAAAGCATTTGTTCCAATTTTACCATATATCCAACCATTTCCTGTATGATGTTTATAGTTTAATGTGAACCACATTCTTTAACATATACGTTTCGGTAATTTATCTTGTTTCGTATAAAGTATTTAATTATGGCAGCTTCGGGCTTCCATAGGTCCCCACAAGGCGCCTCCGTGTCCTCACAGGGGGCCTAAAACGCGTAAACACACACAGTCTTGAAGTATCTTTAATTGTGAAAAGGTCAAACAGGAAGTTGTTTATCACGCCGCTTAGCATGATAACCGTGTCCGCCGGGGTCTGCGAGGACCGGCCCCCTCCGGAGGACCCCACCGACGCCGCCTCCCGCCGCCCCGTCCCCGCCTCAGCGGCTCGTCCGGGGCTCCGCGGCCGTGTTGGACCCGCCTCGTCGGCGTGCTGGTTAGCAGCTTTAGCCTCCTCAACATCTGTTCCCGACGCGGAGCCTGGCTCAAACCGTTAGTTATTTTTTTTTAGCTTCGTTTAGCTAAAGCCAGACTAAATTCCTCCGCTTGTTCGGTTTTTTTTTTGCTCAGAAAGCAGAAAAAGCGAGGGGACAAGCACGCATTTGATTCCTGACAGCGTGGCCGCGCACCGGGAGCGACGGGAGCCGCCACCCGCCGGAGACGAGCACCGGCAGCCCCGGAGGGATGCCGGAGGGCGGCCGCCGCTGAGGGCGGAGGACGCAGCCCCACGGAACCGGGAGGTGAGTCGGCCGGAGCCCGGGGGGACGTGGCCTGCTCGCGGCTGCCCGGGTCCGCTCCGCCCGTGTCAGATGCGGCGCATCTCTCCGGGTGGAGCGTGCTTGACCTTTTAAAGTGATTTCCACGCGTGTGCAGCGGTGCGTTCAGGCGCGTTTTTTGCTCGCTTTCACGCTTTCGGACTGAAGTCTCGGCACAAAGCCGGGATCGGGCTGCAGATGTGCTCCATCTTCCCGTTTGAAACCCAAACCACGTCAGGCGTCTGGACATTTAAGCCCTCTCAGCCCCATCTTCCTCCCCCCCGTTGCTTCTCCTTGCCTCTCCCTGCTCCCCTTTCCCCTCACTCCCTCCCTTCTCACATCTCCCGTCTTCTTCCTCCCCCCTTTGTCCCCTCCAGCCTTCATTCATCTCCCCTCTCCTCCATTGATTTACGCTGGCGTTGCCTGGAGACCGCAGCCGGTGGAGTGGATGGAGGGTCAGCTCCACTTCCTCAGAAAGGGACACAGGGGCGTCATTTAGCCTGTTTCAGGGAGGCTTCAGCCACCCAAAACAACTCAGATATCTATATTAATTCTGCTTTTCCTGGCGGTTCTGTGTGTTCATGCGTGTTTGGATCCGTATTTAAACAGATTTCTCCTTTCAGGTCACAAAGAGCTCAGTCGTTTGGCTGTTTTTGGTTCATGTAGGGAAAAAAATCTCAGTATTTTTTTATCTTTTATCATTTTTCTGCAACATGACGAACTCACTGATACATAATCCCCTTTTTTTTCCCCGAAGCAGGGGTCAGTTTAATCACAACGAATCCTGAGTTCTGAGTGGAAACAGTCAGAAATCCTACAGATTTGTTAAATATTTGCAGTAATATTTAAAACCACTGAAGGCTGTTAGTGTGCACGAGTGAGCTGTGAGCGTTCTGCTTCATGAGGCTCCATTTGTGTCCTGAAGACTAAAATACTCATAAAACACCAATAGATTCATGAGGAATACTGATATTTATCTGATCTATGGAGGATGCAGGGGGAGACAGTTACTGAAAATCACAGCAATTCTGTGAGAGTTCATCTTCAAAAATTATCTGGGCTACTTTTCGATATCAGAGTTGGATATTTTCATGCCTTCTTTTCTTATGTTTATTTCTAATTAGTCTTTTTTTGTCCTTAAGAGGAAAATCTGCCATTTCTCAAAGACGATCATTTTCCCAGCTAATTCAAATGATAAATCAGAGGTGAATCTTTTGTGGTTGAAGTTTCATATTCAGAATGATCCCATACGTTGACGCTGTTGATTGAACTGTGTTTGCATTATGGTGGGCCTAAAATTCAGGTCTTTTTACATTTGTTGCCATTTTTTTTAATCTAGACTTTAGTAAAACGATCATTCCTGGTGGGTTGCTTGTGGTAAAGATGTGTGGATAAATGATACGGAATAAGAGTATACATAGCAGATTAAGCAGATCAGTTCAGGAAACTAAAACTGTTATTTTTAATTTTTTACATTTATTTTCCACCCTTCATATACAGCAACAGAAACTCTTTGATGAAATATTAAAGTCCATACTCGGCTCTGTGTTAAATATTGACGACCGATTCGGAGCCTCCTGGTTTGATTTATTCACACGTAAATCTCAGGAGTCAGATCAGTTTTTGTTTACGCTCTCTGGGCTCTTTGTATGTGCCTCGTGGAGCCCTGAGACTCTGAGACCAAAGCTCCACTTTGCTTTGAGGGGAGATCCTGAGGCTTAACCGTAAGCGGGGCTGTGAGTCCTCCAGCTCAATTTGCTATCTGCGTGGAGCCGTGGACCTTCTGCCCATTAGCAGCTGTGGAGTGATTACAGGTCGCTGCTCGGCCAGGTAGCTCCTCAGTGGAGCTCCACAGTGAAGCTCTCCTGGTTTTAAAAGAGGCTTAGAAGCCGATTCAACAAAGCCGCCCTATCTTTGTAATCTTGGCAAATATAACTCGTAAACCCCGTCTATTCTGAGTGCTCGCTGGCTTCGCTCGGCCTCGCTCGGCCCTCCTCTCGTCCAGTTTGTCTCTCACTTTCATTTGCTGACGGACCTGTTTCACATACAGCAGAACCTCTACATACCACTTTAACTTGTTCCAGGACCTACTTCATATGTTAAAAGACTTGTATGTTGGTTCAAATATTCCCACACTTTAATTGGTATAATTCGTTCCACAGACCCAAAAACCTACGATAACTCCTTAATAAATACTCCAGATAATTGCATATAGCAATAAAACGAATGACTTGTATAAGAGAGATGTACAAAGAAATAAATGATAAAGAAATAATCAATAAAAAGGGGTTTTTATTTGCACTTTACCTCAGAGACTTAAGAACGGAGTTGGAGACTGAGATCCAGGACGTACCCTAACTTTCTCTAACTTTCACTACCAGAACTTTAAACTAACGTAGCTTATTGATTTTGATTACATTTTTTATAGATATTATATTTCACTTTGGATGTTGGAAAATTTGTACGTTTCGGTGATCGTAGGTGGAGGTTCTGCTGAAGCAAATCTGTCTGTTGTTAAGTTTAATTTGGGGCTAAAAACGCCCCAAATCTGCCTCCGGCCTGCTCCGGGAAAACATGGCGTCAGACTGTCGTCAGACGCTGGACTTGTGAACTTGCAGCTTTTTTTAATAAGTCATCAGTGAATGCGTCAGCCTGCCTCCCCTCAAAGCCTCCAGGCGGCTGCGATGCCTTCAGGGACTCAGAGGCGCTCAGAACCGCATCCATCAGCAAATCAGTCTAAAGGCTTTATTTATCCGGAGGGGAAATTTCTGTGCAACACTTGCGAAACAGGATGAAAATAAATAAATAAATAAATGCAACTAAATGAATGAGCAATTATTTAAAGTGACCAGTGCAAAATATAACAGCTTTTTCTTAAAAATACAACAAACAGATAAGGACACAGTTTGTGATTGAAGTGGATCCACCGACGGCACAAAAGCTGCACGTTATCCGTTTAAGACGATCGTCCACCACGAAACGAATCAAACAAACTGAGGAATGAAGCTGTTTCTCTAGGGCAGTTCATCCCAAGCTCAGACTTTTCCCGGAGTCAGAGCGTTTTTTTAAAGGCAGTGGAGATCAAATTTCTCTCATCCACACGAATGTGTTACACAAAACCCCCAAAAAGCTCCGCTGACCTTAGAGATCCGCTGCTCAAAGAGAGGAAGGACGAGTGAGAACTTTTTGTGATAAAGCCGTCTTAATTTGTCAGTGATTCCTGACTGAGCCTGGGACGCTTAAAGTTATTAAGAAAACCTGAAATAAGCCGTCGTGAATCCCAAATAGAGCCCTGGTTCAGAAACAGTTTCTGCATTCCCTCTATAAGTTAGATTTTAGGACTTTTTATCTTCCAGATCTCAATGTTTACTAAAGAAAATGGAGATAAAACTCAGAAGCAGTGAGTTAAAAACTCTCGGCAGCTGCTCGGCGCTCTGATTATTGATCCTCGGAGA